TTGATTGTGTTTATGGGGTGCAGTCTAACATGTGTTAATGCTTTGTTTTTTAAAAAACGCATTATTTTTCACATAATTTACCTTTATTCCACACCGCTCTGTCCCTTCTCTTAAACACCCTGATCATTTCCTTCTTTTATGAAGCCCCTCCCTCAGAAATAGGCGATGGGCTCTGATTGGTTAGCTAGCCCAGTGTGTTGTGATTGGCTAAACCGCGTCTAGTGCACGTCAAAACGTCCCGCCCCTCAGCTCAGCAGCATGTGCTCCGTTAATATCGCTTATCAGTTTGAGCCCGATTGAGAAGCAGATGATATTATTGAAGAGGATCGTGCAGAACCTGTGCAAGCACGGCTTTTAATGGTAGGCCTATGTTTTTTGTTTGTTGTTGTCTTATACTTTTAGATGTGCTGTTACTTGTAAATGCTACTGTTTATGTTAGCTTTTAATATACGGATTTGTCCTGATTAAAGCTTTAATACAGTATGGCAACTGCACGCGCGTCCATGTTTAACGCTTCTCATAGCTATGTGAAAATAAGTGAATAACTGTAACAGTTCAGTGTTGGAGCTGAGCTGAATGAGAGAGAGAGAGAGAGAGAGAGAGAGAGAGAGAGAGAGAGAGAGAGAGAGAGAGAGAGAGAGAGAGAGAGAGAGAGAGATATGCAGAGCTTGTGCAGAGCAGGGGACGCGAGGAACAGTATTAAGAACCGCTGCTTTAGAACATTGATTTTGAAACTTGTGAATCCATTAGAATCATTAGAAGACATAATCGAGATTCATATATGAATAGATTTTTTACGTGCACCTCTAATTTTCTCTTCCTCTTCTCTAAAGCAGCGCAGCATGGCCTCGCCCCTTTGCTGCCTTTTCCCGAGAGCGGGGTTTATCTGGGTTTGTGATGTCACGAACCCGGGAAGTAACTCTTGTAGTCCCTACCAGCCGTTTTTGTAGGCATTAAACAGCCAGAATTCTGACGATATCTCCATTTGCATTGAACTTTCAGCTTCGTAACTTTGCAGATATTGTTTATG